AGACTTTTTAAAAAAATAAGAAAAAAGTAAATGGGGCAAGGTGACGAGAAAAGGCCACTTTCTCTTTTATCGTTGTTGGTATCTTTATGAAAATAGGATATGAGCTATCCGGCACCTAAAATGTTGGAATATATCACGCACTTAAATTAAAAGTAGAGAGAGAGAGAGAGAGAGAGAGAGAGAGAGAGAGAGAGAGAGAGACAGACAGACAGAGATAGATAGAGACAGATTATCGCAGAATGTACAAATAAAAAGTTATAGTTAAATCATCGACTATTTTCCTATAATAGGTTATTACTATTATTATTAATAAAGTTTTTAAAAGTAATTAAAGTTGCAGTATTTTAATCGTTATTCAAAATTTATGAATCTTTCTAAGAACGTAAATGATGAAAAAAATAATAACATTACATTATGCATTCCTTATCTCAATTACATAACTATATTCAAAAAGGGCAAAATATGCAAATAGATATATGTCATATGCTACGTTAAAACGGATCAATGCGTGTTTTTACAGTTCAACAATGAATATAGAAGTTACGAAGAAAACTTGGATATACTAATAAGAGAACAAACGGTTTTACAAAGCAGTTATTGCATATTTATGAGATAAAAGCAATTACATTTGAATATACAAGTACAAATTCAGGATGGTTTCATTAAAAAAAAGATATACTTAATAAAAAAAAAAAAGTTCAAACAACTAAAGTATCGAGATGTCACCGATAACAGAAGTAGACGAAAATAAATCTAATATTGATAATCATGTCAAGGTTATATTTGTTAAACAATATATTATCACAGATAGCCCAGTAATTAAAATTTATGAAGAATTGAATTATTCTGCACCAATTTAACTTTATGTCTAAATATTATAAAAACAATTTTTTCCCGGGTGGGGGATATTCAGAAAATGTTAAGGTACTGATTTATTTGAATGTGTAAGTAAAAAACTTAAAATATTTTACGATAAAATCCTCCATAATATCCTCTTAATCCATATTTCATGAAACATCGGCAGAAAATAAAAAAGGTGTTTTTTCTAAACTACCTCATTCTTGACCGCTCCTCACCATTCCATCAAATTATAAAAGTGAACGTTTAATAACGGTTATAGCTCACCTTGACGTACGAACATAATCCATCTGCGGGAGATCAAATTCGAGCTATCTGCTGAAATACAATTCTGTTATTTTGTGAACGAACCACTTAGCAAAAAGGGTTGAACTAATTTTTAGCCAGAAACAAATCGATATTTTTTTTGCACCCCCAAGAACCGCTGAATACAAATTTCTTATAAAGAAAACATTTTAAAAACTTTCATCCAAATTTTCGCCTTCCAAATAACTCAGTTTTGTTTTCGCAAATCACGAAAATGATAATAACTTGGAAACGACTCCAACAATCTATCGGAAATTTTACAGGGCTTTAAAATCTTACAAATTACATGTAGGGCACAATCAGCGCCTCCATAAATAAATTAAAAGCAGCAATATAAAAGAAAACGTTTGACGTGTTTTTATTAATTTCATTCTTAATCTTTCTTCTTTAGAATGGCATAATATATAATTTTTAAAAATTCATGTAGAACGTATAACATCTTTCACACAAACAAGTAAAGAGAGTGCACTCTCAACACGACACGCAAGAATGGCACAATTACACAGAGACAAACACTTTAAGCCCTGAAGATGATCTCAATAAAGATCGAAACGTTGGCACGATAAATAAAATGTTTTTCTGAAACCTACATCACACCAGACCGCATCTAACGATTTCTGAATAATTAACAAAGTATAACAAACTATCGTTCCAACGATTGGTTACATTGAATTTAGATACAATTCAGATGGGTTATGAATTTTTAAGTGTGGAAACAGGGAGTAATAAATTCCCATGGTTATACTATCCCAAAAATGTTTTTAGCCTAACAAAAAAATTATATTTGAAGGTTTTAAAAGTATTTTTCAGAACAATGTTTTTCGTCCTACTTTATTGAAAACGTCTTTTTTGTGGTTTATTATATCCAATCTTATTTAATACTATCATATTATTTTCTTAACATATCTCGGTGAAAAACAAATCCATTGACATACAATAACTTCAAATAAATGCACAACAAAGGCTATTTTAACAAGTTATGGAAAAAACGTCAACGTTTAAAAATTACTCAACTATCTCAACTAAAAACTTAATTTATTTAAAAATTACTTTTAAACAATTTCTCAGTCCCTAAGGCCCATTGGCGCTCGGATAGGGGTCTAACATTTTTCGATCAAAACAAGTTCCATTGAAACCGTAGCCTCCCCTTGTGAATTGCATAAAATAGTCAATAGTTCTCATAGAAAACAATAGGATACCTCAAAAATATAAATGATTAAATAATTTATTAGTAAAAGCTGATTAAAAATGTTTCACTTTGTATATGTCAAGATTTATTATGTTTCTTATTTACTTATTGTGTTTGTTTTTTCCAGATAACAGAACTACCGTAGCGGATCATATATCACAGTAAGTTTATTTTTATAATTATGATGTGTAACGTATTTTTGTGGGTAACACTCATGCAAGAACCATTGTAAAATATCAATATTCTAAAAAAAGTTATATCCATGTTCCTTTTATGAACATGTGCACGAAATGATAAGAAATAAAAATGCTAAAAAAACGGAATTCAATGTCATGATGATAAATAATCAAATTAAATCATCGAGCGAACAGTCGGTAATCTGTTTTTTTATTATTATTATTTTATGCTTTGTCTATTCGACATACAGCCAGCGAAGTATATACAGAGCTTGGGGCCCCAGCCCACCGTAATCTGAATGAGCGGATCAATAAAGCCTATCAATACTATTTTACGTCAATATTGTTTTACAGTTACAGATGATAAAGAATAAATAAAATATGTATCATTTTTATATAGGTGAAGAGCAAGATCGGGTGAACTCAGGTGTGGAAGAGAGCAAGAGCGAAAGAGAGAGAGAGTGTGTGTGCAAGGGAGGCAGAGATAGAGAGCGAGAGAGAGAGAGAGAGCGTGGGTGTGCAAGAGAGGCAGAGAGAGAGACAGAGACAGAGAGAGAGAGAGAGAGAGAGAGAGAGAGAGAGAGAGAGAGTGAGCGAGCGACAGAAAAAAGACAGAGAGTAAAGAATGAAAGATGAACAAGAGAGAAAATGTGTGCGATAAAAAGAGAGCAAGATATATCAAGTAAACATTAAATGATATTTAAGTACAAAGAAAATGAAAGTGGGTGAGTTGTATAAATATGGATTGGAAGTGAGAGTTATCAGTGTAAATGAAAGAAAAACAAATGTTTTCCTACAAATAATAAATGATGGAGTGAGTATGTGGTGTATGCTTGGCTTTTTATAAAGATCAAATTGATTCTTTCTATTTGTCTTTAATTTCGTTAACCAGCCTATAACAAAGTAGAAAGACAGTATCATTCCATCTAGGATTTTTTCTTTTTTTTATGTTATTCTAATCATTTTGTTTATTTCAGCTAACCAGCATCACCCTGCCACGGGGTTTTCAGGTAATTTACTATTTTAATTTAAATGTTTTTATTATCAGTAATGTATGGGGACATCATAACTATTTATTCTGTATTCTTCCTTCTAATGAGAATATAGAAGATCTATAATCTTCTATGATCTTATTATTGTCTGGTATCGCTAATCTTCAACGATAAAAATAAAGGTCGGGTTGAGATGGGAAGTTAGTGTCCGAGTGGATCGAGGTCACGATAGCTCAAGTGGTAGAGCAGCGGCGTTTATAGCCGAAGATCGTGGGTTCGAATCCCGCTCGTGACACTGACTTTTTTATCTCAACTAAAAACCTTAATTAATTGGAAGATATTAATTGGTCAAGCAGACCACGAAACGAGTGAATTTGATAAAAATAAAATTTACTTTAAAAATATTAATTTAATTGTTTTTATCCGTCTAGTTATCATAATTCTACTAGTTTTTATACTAAATCGACAGCTCAAATTAAAAATCAAAATATATCAAAAGTTACATCCACCCCGTTACTAACTTTAAGCTTTGAATCGAGCACCCTTTATGGCCCAATGATCTGCTTTTAGTCCAAGGCTCAAATAGTCTTTAGTCAATAATTCAGTCAACCTGAAGGCAGGAGATGAAAAGGAAGAAGAAAAAGAAAAAGAGGAAGAAAAAAAGAGAAGAGTTTGAGAAATGGAAAAGCCTGTTTTGTAGAGCCGACATAATGGGGGTAAGTGTGTGGAGGCGGTCCAGGCAGACGAGTGATAATAAAAATGGAAATTGAATAGGGAAAAACGTAATTTCCTTATCGGGGTTGCAGTGACGTTTGGTAACCCTGCGTTGAATGTAATCTTTATCCTTCATAGCATTGAAAGTTATGTAATAATAATAAAAAAGGTTAATGGTAAACGGCTTTTAAACACAAAAGTTGTGAAACTTTCACCTGTTTTTTTTTTCACTCTCTAGGGCGACACATTTGTTCGATAAGTCGCGTACACCAAACACAACAAAGCTTACGAAGTTAGAAACTTCGACTAATAAAAAAAACCTAACACTAACTTTAGAAAGCTTTCCGGTAGAAAACCCAAGTTTCATTAATAGCATGACAAGAAGTGGGGAGAAAAAAATTCTAAATTTTTCTTGCATCTTTCTATGTACTCTACATTTCTTCCTCATCATCACTAAATATTCTTGCCACGTTTTTGCTTGTAAATATATATATTTTATATAGAGATGTTTTAAAAATTTCGTTGTTAGGCGAAAGTAAAACAATTTCAGATATATTTTTAAAAACCTATGTAACAACAAAGAGAGGCTACCAACCTTGGATCGCCGATTTCAATAGATACTAGGTCGAAAACTATTAGACACTAATCGGAGCGTTCATGCCACTGGACACCAGGAAAATATAGACAAAAAAATTTTTTACGCTTTTATAAATATGGTTTTCAGCCTTTCCTCTGCATGTGTGTCAATGTTCAACACATGTTTCCAGTAAAATTCGGTGTTTCACTTCACAAGTCCATAACTCCTCTCGATGTTATCCAAATTCAAAGTTATTTCATTATGTAATATTTAAATTATATTGGATATTTGCTCTTTTATTCTTTTTCACCAAGGTTTTGACTTGATGTCATCGTCATTTTTGTGATTTTCCCGTACAAAATGTACTCAAAGATGTTTCAACAAGCAGAAAATGAATATTAACTTCGTTTCTAGGTAAAAAATTTTTAACTTAATTTTAAAAATCTCAAAAATTCATACAACTTTACGGAGGTTTAGAACACTATCGCTTAACCCTAAGGATCGTGCAGTTGTTTCAATGTTATCTCCATTTTTGATAAAAAGTTGAGGAAGGTTTTGTTTATTTAATCCTTTTTTTTCTCTTACAATAAATTTAAATTCAAAGATTGTTATAGTCTCAAAGAAGAGAAGTGAGGGCGCCGGTGGCTATGGTATTGAAAAGGCGATTCATCACTAATACAGGGTGTTAGGCTACTTTTTTATTTTATAAACTTTGCCAGTAGATTCTACTTACGAATGGAACCAAAAGGTCCTAATTAACTATGGACAGAATCTCAACAGTTTCGGGGTTATTCCCTTTATTTCTGATTTTTTTAAGATTTCACGACCTTGCTTCAAATAAACAATGATAACTCCAAAATTAAAAGATTTGCCCAAATCCATTGATACCATTGACAACTTTAAATTTCAGATAAGATGTGATCAAATCAAACTTGTAAACGTTCGTGAAATAACCGTTTTAGTAGCCAGAACTATGAAAAATATTTTTTTTTTTCAAAGTTGAAAAACTTACTATGGTGATTCTAAATTACTTTTTCTAAGCCTAGAAACCAGCAAATTTCAAAAAACTTACTCCATTTAGTTACGTAATTACTTTTTTAATTACTATTTTTAAAGATGAAGAAATTGATGAAGGAAAGGAAAAATCGTGTTTTGACGGATTGGTAAGGCGGAAAGATTAAAAAAAATTATAAATTATTAATAATTTAAATTTTATAAAATTTAAATAATATCAATTTTAATAAATTATTAAAAAATTATTTAAAAAATAAAATAAAAACAAGGAAAGTTTAAATGGATTCATGAAATTTTTTTTAATTTGGATTCGAAAATATATTATGTATTCGAAATAATGCAAGTGGTTACTTATTTAACTACACGACGACAACTTTGATTAAAGAATTATTGTATTATTATTCCCAGGAAAAGAAGAGTTTTAAGTTAAAGTTTTGTTAACACTATGGCTACTTTTTCTAATTAATAATTCGCTTATGTACGGGTTTAGTGCGACTCAACTGCGTTTACAAGTTTAGTATTGATGACATCTTATTGGAAAATTATCGTAGTTTTCAATAGTATCAACGGATTTTTCCAAAACCTTTTAGCTTTGGAGTTATGTGTTTATTTGAAACAAGGTCGTGAAATCTTAAAAAATCAGAAAAACGGCAATAACCCCGAAACTGTTGAGATTCGGACACTAGTTACTTAGGACTTTTTTGGTACCATTTTGAATGTAGGAATCTACTTGCAAAGTGTGAAAGACGAGTAACCGAACACCCTGTAAAAGGCATGGATACTTACAAATGGGCATTTTATCAAGAACACCGGGACCCCGAGGATTCATATAAACTCATAGTTGAAATACCCTCGCAAAAAATGGGAGAGAAAGAGGGAGTGTGTGTGTGTGTGTGTGTGTGTGTGTGTGTGTGAGAGAGAGAGAGAGAGATAGCTTTACAATGAGAAAAGTCTAGAGAATTTATGAATTTTAATTGGAACACGAACATCCAAAAAAATTGCCCCCCTTTGTTTTGGGCGAAAAAATAGATATTTTATTATCCGTTACATATATTTTTGATTTCGTACATTATCTTCAAAAATAAATGAAAAAATGCAAACTGAAATATACATACAAGACAAGCCTTATGAATGTACAAATTAACAACTGTTTACACACATCATTTAACCCTTTAAGGCATTATAAAATTTAAAAAGAAAAAGAACCGTCGCGAACAATAAAATCATTTAATCAGACTTAATCCGCAAAGTCATTGACCGGCAATGATAACGCCGACACCCTTTTTCCGCCTTTCGTGAGGATAGACCAAAACAGGGAGGGTAGGCAAACTACAGCGAGGAGAAACCATCTACAGTAACTAAGTTTTATTAATCCTAAAGTTGTGGTAGTGACCTATTTTCAAGAAGCTCTGTGAAACAAACTTAGAAGCCAATCCTAAAGTCGAAAGGTTGCGATACAAAAAAAAATTGTCAAATGATAGATTAGGATGCATTCATTAAATTAAATTGAGAAGGAAGTTGAAGCTGAGACGCCATTACCTCCGGGCACGACTGTTCCAAGATCATGAGGTATTGTTTCTCGGAGAAAGGATTCTGGAGACAAATTACTGAGCCTGATGGATGAGATTAATACATTCTCTTCATACCCCCTGTCTGTGTTCCGCTTTGTTTCCCTGGCTCCGACGTAAATTATTTAATAGTCGGCCCGTCCGCCCTCTCACACCCTCGTCATGTGTCGTTCTCCAAATCCTGCACAGAGATTGGAGAGGTTGGATGTAAATTATTTTGTACTTGGAACGAGATATCCGTCAAGCCAGATCATAGTTTTAACGGTTAACGAACACGAAACAGCTGGACTGTATTATAGATATATTACGTCCTAATTACAGTAATTGGCATTGCCACAATAATTCTAATTATAAACGTGTAATTTGAATGCTTATTTAAATCGTATTTTTCTCATACTTAATAACACACTTGATTCTAAAATCTACGGTATGTTTTTCTCAATCCTGTAAATATGAGGTAAAATAAATATAAACGTTGGGATGAAAAATGAACTTGGTCGGCACCAAGTAGTACGTAAAAACCTCTTGTTTCAACAAGGAGTTTATATGAACCCTCAGGGGTGCCGGTGTTTTTGAGAAAAAGACCATTTGTACGTATGTATATTTTTATCTCGCAGTTATGAGTCGCCTTGTCTGTTGCCACCGTCGCGACGCCCTTTCGGTATTCTCGGGTCTGCCTGGTCTCGAAGAAAGAGGAAGAAGGAAGAAAATAACGTTTTATACAAACGAAATCGACATTTTCTCGACGCGAATAAATTCTTCTTAATTATTGTACTTATAATGCTGACCGATGTTGTCAACAGCTGCATATTTTTGCAATTGATAACAAATTACGATTTGAAGAGTAGAGCTCAAGTTTATAAGAAATTTATGCAATTAATAAAAATTTCTATATGAACAAGAGATTAAGCTTATAATAAGAACTTTACTTAAGTACCTGCTAAAGAAAAGATTGTTACGTTTTTCAACAAAGCTGATTGTGTCAAAATGCACGCTTTTCCCACACTCATTAACTATATACTAATTTAGCTTGTATCTAAAAACTATTTTCCTTACCCGTTTATAAAACAGGAGTAAGTAATAGACAACACAATACACCGTAAACCGAAACGGACCAAACAAACGAGCTCGGAGCTGTAGAATATCAAATTACTAACTGAAAGGGTAAAGCGCATTAAATGTTGGGTATCCACTTTTGCCTCTTAGGTAAATTGGTTTCTGTTTGGTGTGAAAACAGGGAAAATTTAGGAGATTTAATTTGCCTTTTAAAGATCTTTGTTTCCTTCATAGTTCAAGTAAAAATAATAATATTTATCTTTCTGCCCTTTCAAAACCATTGAGTCTTGCTTAGACCGATCTGAGTACTGTTTCACTGTTACGTATTTTATAATTTATTGAGGCAGTTATAAACGTAAAATCTTTGTAAAGCAAGTAGAAGAAAAACGCCGGTTCTGGAACCTCACCCCCTCAACCTTCATGGGGTCTGACGGGGTTCACGCCAATTAACCATAAATTTTTATTGATGTACATTTACGCCTTTCAGGTTTTTTTGATATTCTAGCCATATTATACAGCTTTTTGTAAACATTTTAAATTAGATTTTTAGAAATTATGCTTGAAGATATTTCTGTTAAAATAAATTATGCACCGGAAATGTTCCGTCCACCGAAAAAAATTCAAAAATAATCATTAATACTATACAAAAATAATTATTATAACGATGTTTTCTTATATTTCGACCTCAACAGTTTAACTTATGGTTTTTCCTTCTTGAAGGTGGGATAATAGGTCATCTCAAAAAAACCACAACCAGTTTTTATCCACAACGTTCGGATTTATTTTAATCCTTCGTCAGGTGAGTTAACGCAATGGTTAAAACAGTGGTCGTCAGTCATTAATATTTTATAACAGTTTATTTTAAAAAAGAGCCAGTCTGAATATGTACCATACTGGCTCTTTTTTTTAAATAAACTGTTATAAAATCTTAATGACTGAAGACCACTGTTTTAACCATTGCGTTAACTCACCTGACGAAGGATTAAAATAAATCCGAAACGTTGTGGATAAAAACTGGTTGTGGTTTTTTTGAGATGACCTATTATCCCACCTTCAAGAAGGAAAAGTCATAAGATAATTATTATACTTTCTTATTTTACAATAAAAATCTTGACGTATTTACACCTAACTATTTATTTTGCTTCATATTGCTATAATGGTACTTTTTAGAGCATGTTATATAGAATATTTTTCTGTTTGTTGCATATAAATCTTAATTGTGATGCTCTATTTGAATTTTTATTTGATCATGAAATTGTTAGTTAATTAATCCATGGGTAAATTTTTTTCATTTAAATGATTTTTCGCCCAAGCCTATTCAAACACCATACCGTTTGGCCTTGCATTTTGATCATTTTCGAGCATTCCAAATAACTGTTTATCGCTGTGTTATGGAAGTAACTACAATTTTTCATCAGAAAAAATGCATTTGAAATGTTTTCATCGAATCTTTAATCGGAACCACTCATGGTCATATACGGGTAGTGACCTACAAGGAGTTGAGCTTTACGTCAGTTGGTGACCTTGTATAAACCACAAATGTCTATTGATCCTTTACGCAAGATAGTGAACGAAGAACATCATTAAATGCGTTGTAAAAGAAATGTAACCCATTTCTTAATATATTGATTGATTTCTAAAAACAACCATATTTATATTCATTGTCGATGCAGACGACATAAAATAACTTCAATAAATAATGATTTGGAAAAGCTGTTGAAACTTTATTTAATGAAGTTTTGACCAGTATATTGTTGTTTTTATTTACCAATACATTTTCGGTATGGTTTCAATATTTGCCACGTTTGAATAGGGGCTCGGAAGAAAATTAGGACATAAAAATACATTAACAAATAAAAACAAAAATATGGAAATGGTTGAAAGTTCATTTTAAAAAATCAAAAAACAAAAATAAGAAAATGAGTAAAACAAACCAAAGAAGAAAAGAATAGAAAGAAAAAATACAGTAAACTATTAAGCATTTGTATGGTAAAAAGCAATTTTGTCTATTGTAATTATTTTGCATTTAATCATTCTATCATTAATCATAGTAATCATTGCATTTAATCATAGTATCAGTTATTAATCATCGCGATAAATTAAATTGACCTTGTTTTTTGATCTTTGATGGGATTGGTCAGGAGTGAGTGGCAGACGAAATTTCACGGTCGTCCTCAACTAACTTGTTTGCTTAGATTAAAATTAAATAAAATTTAAAATACTCCTACAGGCTTTAAAATAAATACACAGGTTGGTTTGCTATGTTGTGAAAAAAAAAGTAGGGTCATACTAGACAGTAAATGGTGGAAGTCCGCAAAAACGGGTTTTCTAACTCACCGTCCAGAAAATACGATTTTTTTTCAACACATTTCGAAAACTTGTTTTGGTCTTGGAACACATATACAGACGACAACAAAATTCTCCGTTGCCTATGCATTTTTAAACAAAATTAGAGGTCTTTATTCAGCCTAATTGACAACCACAATTTCACTGCCACAAATCTATAGAATTTGAACTTTGGAAGATCATTAAAGAATTTTGCTACGCTGAGTCAAAACTTAACTAGAATTTGGCGAATTTCACAAACTCTGTGCCATTTATGAAGCTTTTGATGCTTTATGCTTGGTAAGATCGGTATATTCTATTTGCGGGAAATACGGTAGATGAAACCCCAAAAAAACCGCATATCATGGAAAAATCAAGGTTTTAAGCGAAGGGGAATATTTAATCAGAATGTATGACAGAATTGTTTTATTATATGAAAATAAAATTAACTTTTTTTAAACTAAAGCAGACAGTATTTTACGAATATCGGCATTTTACTGCAGAATGTTCTCAAAGTGCATTCCATGCATTGTCTAGCAGATTTCCTCATCGCTTTCGCTGTCACATCGAAAGTTAACAGTTTTTACAAATTTTGGCCTGTATTCAAATTACACATTTTTGTTGAAGGCTGGCTGACTAAATGTCTTTTCCCTACAAAGAAACAGCAATTTCTCATCTTCAAACCCCATGTACAGTTTTCATTCGTTAAACTCAATCTTGAATTAATTCGATCTGTAGTGCTCAGTTTTTCCTTGAATATCACAATTCTCTTATCAATTCTAATTAAATTTTCACCTTCGTTCAAAACCGTGATTTTTACATGAGTCACTTTTTTGTGGTGGTTTGATCTACCATATTCCTCGAAAAAGGAATGCACCGAACCTTATATTCATACCATTCAAAAGGTCTTTACTTTACCTGGAATCCTATTTAACTGACCGATGATTCAGAGTGAGGTGCGGCAACGAATAATCAAATATCAGCCGTCATCAATAAAAGTCGGCGTACGAAAAGGGTGCATCTTAGTCCCATTTTGTATTCCATCAGTGGGCACCTATTCAGATGACACCGCAATTCTTTACTGGTACAAAAATTAGAAACTAAAGAAAAAGACTCAACGACGAGTACATAGTGAATATATTAAAAATAGTCTTGCCCTCATACACTGTACATCATCAAGGAACTTCCGACTTCCACTCAACTCATGCGTAGGAATTCCTAGAAAAGCTGACTTGAAATCCCTACACGAGACCTAAGAAACAACATACCACAAGACTTAAGCAACTACAAAGACTCCTAGACAGAAATCCTCTTGACTGCCAATTGTGCACTAACTCAATATTACTGCGACTGTCTTTCCTATAACCAGAGCATTCAATCCTTCCAATCAAAAATGCACAGACAAATTGTCAAAGCTCAATACTACGTCACTAACCTCACTATCCAAAACGCCCTCATAATCCTTCGATCTAGGAACTGATCCGACTGCATTTCCCAAACTTCCACACCATGCGTACGATCCATTGTAACCCTACTTCCTAGATTTACTTTCCCATTTTGAGAATAACCCTCGAGATTTCCTCGCCGTTGCCTGGTTTCTCTAAAATCTGCCTCCGGGTGCAGTGCTAGTGTCTGTGTTTTTGAGAATGTTACCAGTGAGAAGTTGTCATTTGTGAATTTATGTTGTATAAATCTTTATCTAATGGCTTGCGTTTAGAAGTTTAGAAATGCGATCTTTTTTTGTATTTTAGTACAAATGTGATTGTGATTATTGAAAATAAAATCTACTCTCTTGCTAAAATAAAGACCTCATTTATTGGGAAAGGATTTTAGAATTTTAAAAAATATATTTATCACTTGCAGAATAATACTGTGCTAATATTCATTTTAGTTTTATTGGCATAATAAAAATTATTTACACAAAAATAAATTTGTACTTAAGCATTTTTCTTAAACATTTTTTATTATTTTATATCGGAATACAATTTTACAATACAATTACATTACAATCTTTACAATACAAGGTGTAAAAAGGTTTTTATTTCATTAGGATGAAGATGATTGGCTAGATTCTTAATGGAATTATTTTCCTTCTTAACTTTTTAGTATCAAACGACCAAGTTCTGTTCTAATCTTCGTCCAGCAAAATTCCAGCTGACAGACAAGGAGGATTGGATTTCTTGTAACAACCCGTGAACATATTGTAGGTAATAACGGAAAATTGCATTTACTAAGCATTCAATCATCTTCAAAGTCAAACTGTCATTGTACTCTTGCTGGACTTTTGACTTTTGCTTCTTCTCAACAAAGATGTCACTCATGTAAACGTCATGCCATTGTGTTACGTAAAACCTTATGAAGTTTCGTAAATTAAATTAAAAAAAAAAAAAAAAGCTAGATCTGTATCATTTCAAACAATTCAAACTATTGGATAATTTTTTCAGTCTTGTAAATGTTCAAGATCAAAAATAAATAGGGGAAAAAAATTGAATTCATTAATAAAAGATTATGCATCTAACATGATAAACAGATAATAATTAGATTATGGCATTTTTAATTAAAGAATATTAATTACAGTCAACTAAGAAAAAAAAATCAAAACGTACAGACAACAGTACAAACTAAGAAAAAATGCTCAACGACAATGTGAAGATCTGCATTTAATAATGTAATTAATTTTAAACAAATTTTCGAAAAAACACATTCTTACAATATAGTATTTACTAATTCATTTCTGGTTTCCAACGGATTTTCAAATTAAGCAATTAATCCCTAATCATTATTAAAACAAATAAACACAACATGACACAAAAACCAAAACAAATAATTATATTGGAACATTCTAAAATAAATCCTATTGCTCGAATTATCTTGATCATTATTCTGGTAATTCTCAATTAGTCTTAAATTTGATTTGTTTTTAATAGAAGTTCAATGTTTACATTTTAATGTCAATGGCCCAATTATTAAATGTAGGCATTTATCAACACGTTTGCACATTTTTTTTAATTATTAAAATTATTTAACATTCTAACATCTACTTACTTATTTTTCATCAATCTTTTTGCAAAGATAGTTCCTACTCACAGTAAGTTGTTTTCAAAAATCCGGATTTCAAGCCTACAGGAGTTCTACAACCTGGTGATGAGTTGTAGGCTCGAAATTCGGATCGTTGAAAACAACTTAGTGTGAGTAGGAACTATCTTTTTAAAAAGATTGAACAAAACACTCACTCCATCATTTATCATTTATATTTTTCATCATATTAACTTTTTTTATTTACCCTACTATCCAATGAAACCAAGTTATCTTGTCAAGGCAACAAAAAAAAAAAAACTCTGTTTTGGTAAAAACATATCTTTAAATGCATTTACATACAAACCTTGACTTCCTCAATTGCACTTTAGAATAATCTGAATCGTCCATGACACAGTTCCAATTTGAAAGGAATGTAAACTAGTTTTTTCTTAAATAAATCAGTGCAACAGTCAGACTCATGGTCGCATATTGAGCTCTAGTATGGTAGCCAAAAACGCTTCAAAGGAGGCACAAAATAAAATGCAAATTCTACAAAGTTTCATGTGTCTTAAGGTCTACAGCTTCACCACAGTGATGGCAACTGCACTCGACCCTGCACCCTTATGTTCATGTACAAAAGGTGGCTTTCCAATGTCTCAACATATTCCTCAACATATTAAACCAAATAAGATGGGTATAACCTGACAACATGGGGGGGAAGCTCAATTTTAGTCAACCCTTCCAAGCGGTCAAAGATAAGAAAGACTTTTGAAAAAAGGTAACCCCAAGTTTCAGGAAGTGGCCCTAATATGGTAAACTCACGGACCAAAGATGGAATAAGGAGAAATTGTAGGGAGGAAAAAGGCCAAATTTCAACATCTTCCAAGGACCATGCAATCCAACTCTCTGCACAAGATATATTTATTTTTGGACAGCTCCAAGGAAATTTTTGCCTAATTTCCCAAGGAAAACAAAATAAAATAACCTTGAGTTGTGTTCTCTGATATGAAGGTATAGAAGGAAACAGGCATGCTGACCAACTAGCCAAAGGAAGGGAGGCTCTCACACCCATTGGACTTAACCACAACTAGGCACACTGTAGAGTGTGCTTGTCAAAAGTTGGAAAAATGGCTTGAGAAAGAAAAACTCAAGTTCTCAACAAAAGCACTATGTATGAGGCAAAATTAGAGATTTGATAAGTTCTCAAGAAAGAAGGCAAATAAATTCACCAGGCAAGATTTGAAAAAAAATTTTAAGTCCTCTACACTGGCCACTGCCCTCTTAACTACCCCCTAAATAAGAGACAGAAACGTGCTAAATTTGCCAAGAAAAACCAGAGTTGTTGGCACATTCACTTTGTGTTGTAAAGCACTAGGCTGTACACAGTATAACAACTCTCATCAAAAGCTAATTTTTTAGATTAATTAATTATATTTACATTTTTATTTATAATATGTAAACACTTTTAAACCTTGGCATTGATTTTTTTTTAAATGAAGTATGGAAGGTTGAAGTGAAGATTCTATTTTTAAAAAGTCAAACTTGATTTAAAAACCTAAAGTACTTATCCACAGTATATTGCATGAATATTTTAGAAATGTTGCGTAAGGATGAAAATGGACAAGGTTATCTCCATGAAAGCCAAGAGGGGAAAAATGACAACTATGCTTTCCTAGAATACTGGCTGTACTGCCCGTATTATGATAATTAAATGTTAATTTGTATTATATTTGTTATTATTATTTTGTTGCAATAATAGTTTTTGCTATCATATTTTAGCATATATATTTGTTGATTTTTTTAATATGCTTAAAATTATTTTGGCAGAAACATTGTTATTTATGTTTAATAAATTTGCTTTCAGTATGATATTCAAGCTTATTGAACATATTTTTTGTTTGTGTTTAGATTGTCTGAACAACATCTAAGCACGTCACAATGTTAGGATCAATAAAAAATACATATCACATAATGCCCAAGCTTAACCAGAAAATGGTAGCATGGACATTGTCTAAACGGTTTTGTTCACAACAACCAAAAATAGAGTACAAACCAATTAGAAGTGTTTTAGTGGCTAACAGAGGTAAACCAAATCATTGTATTATTTTCCTTTAGATTGCTATTTACTCACTGAATTGTTTTCAGGTGAAATTGCTATACGAGTTTTCCGAGCATGTACAGAATTGGGAATAAAATCGGTAGCCATTTACTCAGAACAGGACAAAATGCAAATGTTTAGACAAAAGGCAGATGAAGCCTATTTAGTAGGAAAAGGCCTTGAGCCTGTGCAAGCTTACCTAAATATACCAGAAATTGTTAAAGTGGCCAAGGTAAAAATGCAATATTTGATTATGTATTCTTAAAATTAAGTCAATTCAGTACACTGTGGGTATTAAAGGAAAATGGTGTTGATGCAATCCATCCAGGGTATGGATTCCTCTCAGAACGTTCTGACTTTGCACAAGCTGTGCTGGATGCAGGCCTCCGGTTCATTGGACCTTCTCCAAAGGTTGTGCAACAAATGGGAGACAAAGTTGCAGCTAGACAGGCAGCGATTGACTCAGGAGTGCCAATTGTACCTGGTAAAGATATATATTTGTCTTATCTCATAATTTCACTAATTTATTTATTACTTTAGGTACACCTGGGCCAATTACTTCATCGGATGAAGCCATGGCGTTCTGTCACGAACACGGTTTACCAATCATATTCAAAGCTGCTTTTGGTGGTGGTGGGAGAGGAATGAGAGTTGTTCGACAAATGAAGGTATGCAAGGAAAAATTGCATATTTTATAACAATTTTTCCTTTGTTAATTGTTTCAATTCTACAGGATGTATTAGAGTCTTTTGAAAGAGCAAGCTCAGAAGCAGCAGCTGCTTTTGGAAATGGTGCACTATTCATAGAAAAATTTATAGAAAGGCCTAGACATATTGAAGTCCAGTTGCTTGGAGATAAAGCAGGAAATGTTATTCATTTGTATGAAAGGGACTGCTCAGTACAGAGGAGACATCAGAAAGTAGTAGAAATTGCTCCTGCTCCACATTTAGACCCTAAGGTAAATATACATATATTTGTTTTACATTTCTTGTTTCTTGACTAACCATTCTTTCTCAAAATATATATTATAATTTGTACATATTTAGGTAAGAGATGCTATGCTAGAGAAGGCACTGCAGCTTGCAAAACACGTTAAATATGAAAATGCTGGTACTGTGGAATATCTGTTAGATTCCCACAACAACTTTTATTTCATTGAAGTAAACGCTAGACTCCAGGTGGAGCATACAGTTACTGAAGAAATTACCGGGTAATTATTATGAATCTATTGCCAACAGTATAGTTGTAGTAATTAATTATATTTTTTAGAGTGGACTTGGTCCAATCACAAATACGAGTTGCTGAAGGGTTAACCCTCCCAGAGATGGGATTGACTCAGGATAAAATTAAGAAAATTGGGTATGCAATTCAGTGTCGTGTCACCACAGAAAATCCTGCATCAGATTTTAGGCCTGATACAGGCAGAATTGAAGTAAAATAGTTGTTTTTCATACATTTTCCCTGACATTTCTCTTTGTTAAAATAACCTTTGATGATTAGGTATTTAGATCCGGTGAAGGAATGGGTATCAGAATTGACAGTGCATCAGCCTATGCTGGAGCAGTTATAAGTCCTTACTATGATTCTCTTTTGGCTAAAGTCATATCACATGCTACAGACTTAAGTTCAGCAGCAGCCAAACTTGCAAGAGCACTGAGAGAATTCCGTGTAAGAGGAGTCAAAGTAAGTAGCAGTTAGTAAAATTAAATCAACATTGCCCACAAAACTCATGATATTGTCTTTTCATAGACTAACATTCCATTTTTATTGAACGTACTGGAAAACCAAAAATTCATGACTGGTGCAGTTGACACTTACTTTATTGATGAACATCCACAATTATTTGCAATCAAGACTTCACAAAATAGGGCCCAAAAATTACTGAATTATCTAGGAAATGTTCTCATCAATGGACCACAAACTCCCCTTGCAACAAAGCTAAGGCCTCCTAGGATAAAGGTTCATGCTCCAGAAATACCTGTTGGTACGGAATATATCAATTTTATTGTTTGTCTTTTATTTTTTTCTTTAATATTGTAGTAGTTTAGTAATTGTTGGTTAGTTCGATAAAATAGGTATTCAAATCTTCTGGAAAAAATAATTGTTTTAAAAAATCTCCTAAACAGAAAATGTGGAACAGGTAAGAAAAGCATGTTAAGCACATTGATTGCTCCCTTGCATGTTTCTTGTAGCTTTTTTGGGGGACAATCTGTTTTGTTACACTTTTTTATTTTATTAATTTTTTAATGTTTAAATATCTTAAATTTTATAGTAATAATTTATCAATAAAACATCTTAGCCCTGTGGAATTCTGTTAAACAAATCAAAAAACCCTTTTTTATAATCAAACTGTGCAATTATTATTATATGATGATAGTCATGGTATTATTAAAATTTGAATAACAACATTCTTAAACTATATTGGTAAAATTCCAGAATGATGATGTCCTATTGAGAAAACTAACATTACATTGGTTTCAATTGAAAAATAATTATTTACATTTTATTACCTGCTTCTGAAAATAACATACACTTTTTACAATATAATAGCCCTTTATTTTTAAAATGCAATAGTTAATTATTCAGAATAGTTTTAAAGCATACTCAGCCAGTAAAACAAAAAAAAAAGATTACCACATATTTTACAGCATAAAAAGTATGTTTATTATTAAATTTTACAAAATAATTTGATAAATAATCACAATATTGGTATCATAATCAATAATAAGTTTTTCATTGGATAATAGCACTTATTGCACTTATGGAACTAACATATTTCTTTTTGTGAACGAACTATTTACATTATCAGAATCATTTTATAATTTATATGAAACATCAGATACAATAATTGGTTATTATTAATTCAATTCTTTATCCAAACAATATCCAAGTTATATTGAATATTAGTCGCATCTGGTCGTATGTCAAGTGCTGGGTATGTTTCATTATTCAAATTAATTATTTTTGCCTGTTTGCTAGAATATTTGTTTTGTACTTTTGTTGTTAGTTTGTCTTTTGTTTCCATTCTTTACCTTTGCATCTGTGTGCAGATTATAGCCGGCCTGAATTTAACGAGGAAGGAATCATGATAGGTAAATAATACAAAATTTTCAAATAATAATATTAAACAAGTAACATCACTCAAAAACATTTATTACTTATTTGAAATCTAACCTTTTCATAAATCTGTCTAATTATGAGCTCTTTCAACTTTTTAAAATGGTTCTTCTAAACAAAGCATAATAACTATTTTGTCTCTTGCAGATGTGCCTTCATGTAAGTTTTTTTTAACTAGAACTTTAAAAGCATCTGGCAACATGAAATTTTCAGCATGAAATGCATGCAGTTTTAGAAAGCGTAACATAGAGAATGTTTTGCATATTAATATAAACTTTAATAATTAAATTATTATGAATTATACAATTATGTGAAAGAAAGAGATAGAGAGAGATAGATAGAGTGAGAGTGAACGTGAGAGTGATATAGAGAAAACAAAAATTTTCATTATCGTTTACAGGAGATAAACTTAAGAATTTGGAAGTTGAACTCAAAAATATATAACATGTGACAAATACAATTATTATTTCTCCCACCATTAAAATCATATACTGATCAACAAATAGACAGGGAGAAAAATTATGAAATAACTAAAAAATATAATATTGTATTGAAAAAGAATAACAGTACAAAAGGAATTATACTATATTTTTTAATTTAATTTATATAAGATCAGTTTGGCCCATATAATCCCATGCATACAAATATGTGCGGAATCAAACCGATGATTTCTCATGGCAAGCCACAGGAATCATTTATTATGCTTTTGGTTGTCCAGGGTCAGTCCTCAGTCTTATCCACTGAATTTAGACTAGACTGCATGGGCTACCAATAACAAGGTCATTTCGGATGTTTTAACCTAAACACACTCACTTTTTCACTCATTCTTGATATTTTATCATTGATACATGTGTAGTACCAACATATTCACACTTATAAATACATTCTAATGAAACATTTATCACAGAATACATCTCAGTATTCAGTAATTAACTGCAGTAAAAAAAAATCTATGTATAAAAATAATCCTGTTTCCTCCAAAAATTGCAATATGGGAGTCACTGGTCCTGATATCATGTGGCATTTCAACTCACTCTCAATATGGAGCCATGGAATGAGACTCTTTAAATGGCACATGTTGAGCCATCTTTATTTGCATGCTGAAAACAAATGTGATGTTGTAACCAAAATTCCATGTGCCAATCGCATTTAGCCGATTCTGAGTTAGGTTAGGTTGGGTTAGGATGATCTTTATTCTGTAGTTTAGACACTCTGAGAGCCACCTATTGACTATGCTTGTGGCATGCCGAGTCCATTGGCACTTTCTTAATTGCCCAGTCGGACTGCGATAGTAAGGTCAGAAAAGAGAATCGGCTTTCAGTGTCTTTCTTCAATACATTGCCCTCCAGCCCAATATTTCCAGATATCCAGATCCAGACAACAGTTTTTCAGCACACTCTAATTCAGTGTGTCTCAATTTTTCCTTTAGAATCTACAACAAACTCAGTGAGTTAGTGCATACGAGGTAGGATGAATTCTCCTCAGAATGCACAACTAGTTAAACAAGAGTCTACTATAATAAAATTCAGTAAACCCCATGTGATAGAATAATCAGAAACAATATATTTCTCTCATATCAAAATTATGTCAGAACTAATTATGGAGAAATTTTTAATTAAAAATGCAATGATTGACAATTTATGCATATACTTTCATCTTTCAAAATGAAACATTCTCTTCACTCTTATGGTAAATAGTAAAATATTGAAAGAGCATGAAGATTACTAGTAAGCACTTGAGAAATGTTATTATTTAGAACTTATAAAATAATTTTTTATACTAATATCTTAACTGTAAATTACATTAAGACTTAATTGTTGAATTAATTACATTTCAATATAATTCTGATTTAATGGCCTTAATTAAAAATGTGATATGCCATGGAATAAACATTAAATTAAACATGATTATGCAGGTACGTTGGCACCGCCAGGTCTAAGAGATGTATTCATAAAAGAAGGGCCAGAAGCTTTTGCGAAAGCAGTAAGAAATAAAAAGGAACTACTACTTATGGACACGACTTTCCGAGATGCGCATCAGAGTTTGTTAGCAACCAGAGTCAGGACATTAGATTTGCTAAAAATTTCACCTTTCGTCGCTCACAACTTCTCAAATTTGTACTCCCTTGAGAATTGGGGAGGGGCAACTTTTGATGTCTCACTTCGATTTTTGCACGAATGTCCTTGGGAACGTTTAGAAGAAATGCGGAAGTTGATACCAAACATTCCTTTCCAAATGTTGCTCAGAGGAGCAAATGCAGTGGGATACACCAATTACCCTGATAATGTTGTTTATAAGTATGTTTATAATACATAAAATTCTTATTGCATTGAATAAAACATATTTAATCATTTAACTTGTTTTTAACAGGTTTTGTGAGCAAGCAGTACAATCTGGAATGGATGTATTCCGGGTCTTTGATTCTCTAAATTATTTACCAAATCTTATTCTTGGAATGAATGCAGTTGGAAAAGCTGGAGGAATAATTGAAGCAGCTATTTCCTACACTGGTGATGTGTCAAACCCTAACAAAAAGAAATATGACCTGGAATACTACAAGAATCTTGCTAAAGAACTAGTCACTGCCGGAACTCACGTTTTGTCTATTAAGGTAGTATATTTTATGCTATAAATATGGTAATTTAAAAGAAGTAAATAACTAACATGTGTGGTGTTTCGTGACTGTTACTTATGATTATTTGGAGGTTGTGAATAATCCAGTTGTGAATATCCGAATAATATATAATTAACGTTTATTTTAGGATATGGCTGGACTTTTAAAACCAAAAGCTGCAACACTGCTAATATCTGCATTAAGGGAACAACATCCTGATGTGCCAATACATGTACATACTCATGACACAAGTGGAGCTGGCGTTGCATCAATGCTTGCTTGTGCTGAAGCAGGAGCAGATGTTGTTGATGTAGCGGTCGATTCGATGTCTGGTATGACTTCTCAACCTTCAATGGGAGCTATAGTCGCATCACTGGAAGGCACCCCACTAGATACAGGTTTGAATGTGTTTATATAAAGATAGTTAAGTTATTAATAGCTTTACTACTTGCTACAGGTATTCAACTAAGTAAAGTGTCGGAATATTCAGCCTACTGGGAGCAGACGAGAACACTCTATGCACCGTTTGAGTGCACAGTGACAATGAAATCAGGAAACGCGGATGTATACCAAAACGAAATCCCTGGAGGACAGTATACTAATCTACAGTTCCAAGCATTCTCACTTGGCCTAGGTGAAAAGTTTGAGGAAGTCAAAAAGGCATATTCTGAAGCAAATATGCTTCTAGGTGATATAATAAAGGTGATTACTTATATATATATATTTTTTTTTTTATTTAAAAGAAATAGCCATAAAATTTTTAAGTGATTTAAATTTCAAACTCAATTTAGATTTCCACAATGCGAGACAAGTTTTGCAAAACATATGCGCTAGTGAATTTCATGCAGTGGAAACCCAGCTCTGCACTGTCATATTTAAATTTAAATTTAATTTGTGTTTTTTTTTTTTTTTTTTTTTTAAGTTAGATGGTTCTTAAGCTCAGAAAATTTGTTCCATTTACGCAAGTGTTCTTTAGCTCTTGTTTTAATTGAGAATTTTAATTAATTTTCATTTGAAAAAAAATTCAATTAAAAACACTTGCCTAAATTGAACACATTTTTTGAATTTAAGAACCATCTAAATTAAACAGAACACATTTATGACACAATTAATAATTAACTCCACTCATTTAAACACATCCAGTAAACGAGAACTTTTAACACTACCACCAGCCCCCCCAGCCAAACCGTCCCCGCAGGGCTCCAATTTTGGCCACCTCCCAACCTAATATATATTTAATTACTTAAATACCTATTTAATTTTGTGCTTTGAATTTGTAGATAAATTCATCCTTAAAATTAAATAAAATTAACTGTTCAACTACCTTACAATGTTACAATTAATTAAGGTTTTCAGTTGAGATAAAAAAGTCAATGGCACGAGCGGGATTCGAACCCACGATCTTCGGCTTGATACGCTGCTGCTCTACCACTTGAGCCATCGTGACCTCGATCCATTCGGACACCAACCTCCCATCTCAACCACACCTTTTGAATTTTCCCTCCTTTAATTGTAAGATATTAATTGGTCAAGCGGACTTGAAACTAGTGAATTTAATAAGTTTAAAATGAAGTATACTTCACTAAAGCTCTCCGTGGCCATTTCATTTGTCGCCGAGAATCAAATTGATTACACGACATGTGAAAAATGGCAAAAAGGATGGAAAATTCAAAAGGTGTGGTTGAGATGGGAGGTTGGTGTCCGAGTGGATCGAGGTCACGATGGCTCAAGTGGTAGAGCAGTCGCGTATCAAGCCGAAGATCGTGGGTTCGAACCCCGCTCGTGCCATTGACTTTTTTATCTCAACTGAAAACCTTAATTAATTGTAAGATATTAATTGGTCAAGCGGACCACGAAACTATTGAATTTAATATCTTACAATGTAAATGCCATAAAGCTGTATTTAATAATGTATTACATAAATTATAAAATTGTATCAAAGCGATACAAAATATTTTTACTATATTATAAAGGACCCACTTTTCATCCCTATTCATCAATACTTTTAAAAAAGTTCATTGCATTTTATGAGGGGTATCACAGTTAGAGAAAAGGTTCAGTAAATATTCTTATATCCAGCTGCTCTCAGATGCCACAAAATTCTTGTTTGAAATGTGATGTGTTTCTCGATGACTGGGTGATTATGATTGATTGAGTGATTATATTAACTGTTTTTAGCCTAACATTTCTTAAGAGTAAGTTTTGTATTTTATTTTTCTTTAGGTAACACCATCTTCCAAAGTGGTAGGTGATCTTGCTCAATTCATGGTCCAAAATAAATTAACTGCAGATGAAGTTACAAAAAAAGCTGGTGAACTTTCGTTTCCGCTTTCTGTTGTTGAGTTTTTACAAGGAGCCATTGGGGAACCCTACCAAGGATTTCCTGAGCCTTTCAGATCTATGGTAATTAAAGATCTTCCAAAGATCAAAGGCAGACCTGGTGAAACGCTTCCTCCCCTAGATTTTGACAAATTAGAGCAAGATCTTATCGAAAAGTTCTCAAAGGAAAATGTAAGCAAGAAAGATGTCCTGAGCGCGGCTATGTATCCAGCAGTCACAGATGAATTTATTCAATTCCGGAATCAGTATGGGCCGGTTGACAAACTGGAAACAGGCATCTTTCTCACTGGCCCTCACATTGGTGAATCCGTTGAAGTACAACTTCAAAAGGGGAAAATGCTGGACATAAAAACAGTAGCTGTGTCTCAGGAAGTGTCAGCGAATGGAGAAAGAGAAGTATTTTTCGAACTAAATGGCCAGCTGAGATCAGTAATGATTCGTGACATTGAAAAATCCAAGGTAAGAACTGTAATTGCAACAAACTGAATTCACAATTCAATTAACAAATATAATTTATTTTCAGTCAATTCATGTCCATCCAAAAGCAAGTAAAAATGACAAGGGTCAGGTTGGTGCACCGATGCCTGGCACAGTAACAGAAGTTAGAGTGAAAGTAGGAGATAAGGTGGAACCGGGTGATGCTCTTGTCGTCCTTTCCGCTATGAAAATGGAAATGATTGTCCAAGCTCCGATTTCTGGGACTGTTAAAGCCATTGATGCAACCGTTGGTCTTAAACTTGAAGGACAAGATTTACTTGTAACTATCGAAAAATAATAAGAAATCTTAAGTTTGACCCTTTTGATTTGTTAGATTATCATTATAATTACATTCTAAAACTCATGTTACATCAATGAGTTATATCTGTTTTAATGTTTACTATTTAATTAATTACATTTGAATGAACTTTTTTTTATTGTTAATTAGATAGGGATTACTGGACATACTTCAAATTGATTTTACTAAAAGACAAATATTACTACATAAAAAAAGCTAGTTGAATATAAACTGTATTTTGTAAAGAAATAACTTGTTTATAATTTAATTATACTTTTGTAAATAAGTTGTTAAAAGATTAATTTAAACATCAGTTCTAGTCATTGTCCATTTCTACTGCTGATATTCTTTCAGTTGCTAATATTATTTTATAGGACTTTTGGCTGTCCGATAAATACGAAAGTTGCATGATGACTGATGATTTATAGTATATTTTTGTACATTTATTTTATCATTGTTATTTTATTGTGAATAGTGTAAAGATTATTTTTTGGGATGACTGTAATTTGTGCAAACGTTTTATTAATGTACATATTTGGAGTTTATATTTGTTATATTGGATATTTTTGTAGTAATTATTATTAAAACAAATGTTGATGCAATATTTGTGTTATAATCCTTTTCTCTTTATTATTATTTCTTTATTGTTATTACTTTCTCTTTTATTTTTTCCTCTTAACGACTTTCAGCAGGCAGAATTGTAATCCACGCCTGTACTATATGCTTTGTAAATAATTATACGGTTATATTGATAGGAAAAAAAGAAACTTAATTTAATCATAATAAGTTAACTAATTGATTGTTTCAAAACCGTTTTATTGCTGTGGCTGAAAAATAGTAAGAAAATAAATTATTTTACACAACAATGCAATAAAATTTAGCAATTAACTTTTTCAAAAATCTCCAAGACTAATGAACATGGCCATCTGACCCTATAAATGTAATTAAAAACACATGATTACAAAGAAATAGAAAAATTGTTGTACCAGATCAACAGAGTAGCTCTCACCTATCAAGAGTACAGTCAACTGGTGGCCATCAGAGTATCTAAATCAAATAAGAGGAATCATAATAACCCGACTAAGAATACTAGGTTGACACTTTTACTTTCAATAGCCATTTATATATAGAAAGTTGGACTGAATTGAATCTTAATTAAAGGGATATTCCTTGGGATAATATAGAGAGTGAGTAGGACTGTCACCCAATATTATAATTGTTCACAAGCACTGCAGCGAGTCTTTGGGTCCCATGTTTTTTAGAGAAACAGAGCTGTTTTGTTGTACATAGCATATGATAGGTATCTCGTTTTGTGTTTATGTTTTTGGTACATTGGGAGTGAATGCATTTATTAGAGTGAATGTGCAGTGCGTGAGGGCCAAGTACCCCACCTAACCCTACTTGAGTGATTGGTATGAAAATAGGAAAGAATGTATGTGAGTGTGCCTAGGTTTGAAACTCTTAACATCAAAGAACTTTTTACTTTTTTCTTTACCATATTCTATCCATGGTTTAGTGTTAGTGGGTTGAAATGCAATAGTAATCTGAATGGTGGGTTTTGCTGCTTTGGTCGCATATTTGTTGCCCTAGAGCTCCATGTGTCTATCACCCAGATTGCTATCATTTTTCCGAGATGTTCTAATTCAGCTTATCTTTCCATGTATTTTTTTTGTTTTGTTAGGCAGTATTGACAACACAGAAAACGAGCTTTATGAAATTCATTTTTATTATGTAAACATTAAATAATTGATCACTTTCTGATCTTTTGAGTAGAAGTTTTAGAAGTAAAAATATAAAAATCACTTTGTTGCAAAAAGTTCAATCAATAAGGCTGACCACTTACTGTATAATAAACATCAGCAGTGAGTCACAAAAGGTTCAATTGTAAGGAGCTTTTTCCATTGACTTTTTGTCTAGTTGAAATTTTCAGGCGAATTTGTAGATCAATTGTGAAGCAAGTGTTACATTGGTGATGCATGAAGGGGTGAAGTCAGCGTACTCAATTGTCCCTTTCAGTGTATAGTAGGTAGACAGTAGTGTTGCCAATACTCCAAAAATAATCAGCAGAACGTTAGATATTTTCTCAACGATGGAAACCTGTTCACCCTGCAGGTCCACAAATGGCAGGATAGAATTCCTGTCTTGTTCTGTCCTTCTCTGGAAGAGATGCGGCTTGTCCAGGTGATCCTCCATTGACAGGTCGACCCTTGCATGGTTGCCGACAATCCATGCTCGATCTGTGGCTATTTCTCTGATGGATCCGTATCCGATCGGAAAATATCGGGGAAGAAGACGTGCTTTGAACTGGGCCTGGAGTGAACGAAGTCTGGCATAGAGCAAGGGTGGAAACACAAACATGAGCTGGCCCATCAATGCACCTCCTATCAAGCCCATGATCAGGTCGAACCTCGGGACGATCTCTGCGAGAAACACTGCCCCCAGGACCACACCTGACCTTAAAAAACATCTCCTCCATCCAAAACCTTGAGCAAAAAGAAATATAACGAAATTTTTAAGGATTCATGTATTTGGCATTTCATTGAAAAAGATTTTTTATCTTCATCCTCCAAAACTGTCCATTTCAATAATGTAATTGATCGTTATAAATCATGTATTTTTAGTTATTAAAAACTTTTTATAAAACTCTTTTTATTTTCATGAATTAAAATATATACAATGCTTAAAATGCCTCACCTACTGGTATGTTAGCTTTTTCTTCAAGATCTTGGAAAAGTGGTGTAACACCAACAACCATTGACAAGCTAATTTGAACGGTTACAACAATGAAATTTGCATAAAGTGATTCTGAGGGCTCCAAGCCTTGCAGTGTGTTGTAACGGACAGCATTTCCATAGCAAACATAGCAGATTATTGTTGTTATTAGAAAAAGAGATCCACTAGCTTTAATGTATTTTTTAAAAGTAAATAAGAATGTTCATTATTAATTACTTTGAAATAAATGCACAATAACTCACCAATAAATGCTATGATAATAGCTTTTCCAAGTTGATTTCGGTTTTTCATATCTACTTGTATTGTCAAAATTGTTGGGTGAATATCAAACTGAAGCGTTCAAACATACAATTATCAAAGACAAAAAGTATAATTGAATGAAAATTTTAAATTTTTACCTGGAAGGAAAGTATACCATACGCGATAGCTGCAGATTCCCATGTTGGATTTGGAATGAATGGATTACTTGGAGTTTTTCCATTTAATAGGCAAAACCAAGTTAGAAAAGAGGATAATAAAACAAAACCGACTGAAATCGCAGCCAACCATCTGTAAACAATCTTATTTATAATGATACTTAGTTGTACATATTAAAGGAACACTAACTTCAAATCCTTCGGACTCCCAAGCCACATAAACGGGCATAGAATTACTCCAAGAATGATAATCCAATAGCAATAAGAAAAATCCAATTGATATGATGAGACTTTTAATCCTATTAAATGAAAATTTTGGGCAGCTGCAAATTGTAAAATTGTTTAAAACAGACTAATGGCAAAAGTTTCAGACATTTATCTTTTTTTACCAACAATGAGATTAGGAATGCTGCCACCAAATACTGCTAGGCGTAAAATTAAATTTACATATTTGCTACACATCTTTCCATATGCCAGTTCGACCACGGCTGAATATGGATATCTGTAATTGGATTTACTTTGAAATAAACACTGATTGTAAAAATTTACCATAAAGCATTACCTATTCTTTTCTAAAATGCCAAATTGCAAATTCTCAGCAATAATCCAACATCGTCCTAACATTATTGCTGTGTAAATCTGAATAAAAAATACAAAGAAAGCTAGTGGCATTCCTAACCAACCTGCAAAATTGGTAAGTTTATGTTTCACCTCAACATAAGTAGTGTTTCTTATTTAAAAGTAAAATATAAATAATGCGCTTTCAAAATAAACTACAAAAACTGTTGTAAATAAATGGAAATCTGAATCTTATAAATTGTTACAATTAATTAAGGTTTTCAGTTGAGATAAAAAGTCAATGGCACGAGCGGGATTCGAACCCACGATCTTCGGCTTGATACGCTGCTGCTCTACACTTGAGCTATCATGACCTCGATCCACTCGGACACCAACCTCCCATCTCAACCACACCTTTTTGAATTTTCCCTCCTTTGGAAGATCGTGGGTTCGAATCCCGCTCATGCCATTGACTTTTTTATCTCAACTGAAAACCTTAATTAATTGTAAGATGTTAATTAGTCAAGCGGACCACGAAACTAGTGAATTTAATAAGTTGAAAATAAAGTATACCTTCACTAAAGCTCTCCGTAGCCATTTCATTTGTCTCCAAGAATCAAATAGATTACACAACATTTGAAAAATGGCAAAAAGGAGGGAAAATTCAAAAAGGTGTGGTTGAGACAGGAGGTTGGTGTCTGAGTGGATCAAGGTCACGATAGCTCAAGTGGTAGAGCAGCGGCGTATCAAGCCGAAGATCGTGGGTTCTAATCCCGCTCATGCCATTGACTTTTTTATCTCAACTGAAAACCTTAATTAATTGTAAAATGTTGATTGGTCAAGCGGACCACAAAACTAGTGAACTTATAAATAGTATAATATTTCATTAACAAAAAGTTCTCTGTTGAACTCCTCCCCTCTCATTGTGTTCTAGTAACGTGGACGTCCCGCCCTCCGAACCAGACCATTGTGAACTGGCTCTTCCATGCTAAAATTGACTGAAAACATGATTACATGGAAATGTAGCCCAGGTGGGCTGAATTGGCAAAGAAATCTCATGTATCAAGAGCTTGGTTAGTAGGTGACTTTCAGAGGATTTGAATAGAAAAGAGGGATCATACTCATCAGACTAAGACTAGGCCATATGAGTGTGACGCATGAACATTTGCTTTTGGGTCTGTGCATGTGATCAACATGTGGACAAATGTTACTCAATATGTCCCACATAATTGAAGAGTATTATTCTTTGTCTCCATGTTTTATTGTATATAGCGCATGATGGATATTTCATCCTGTTTCTTTTTTGTGTGTATTGAGAGTCGAGGTATTTATTAGTGTGAATGTGTAGTGTGAGAGGGCTGATGGCACAATATTGAATATGCTCTCAATTAGATATGATATGTGCAAAGGTCGATGGAGAAATATTGAGACTCCACCACCCTAATTGAATACACATGAATTTATTTAATAATGGATTTTGATTTAAAATTATTAATACATTGGGTGCTGAAGGACCTGGATATTGACAGCCTCTGGAGCCTAACTTAGGAGACGGAACGGATAAGACTGAAAACATGATTACAAGGAAATGTAGCCCAGGTGGGCTGAATTGGCAAAGAAATCTCATGTAACAAGAGCTCGGTTAGTAGGTGTATTTCCTATATATTTTCTTTTTTTATAATAAAAATATCTATAACTCACTGATAACATTTTTAATATTATATTTTCAAAAACTTTTTTTATTGGCTTTAGTAATAATTACTGATTAAAATAACTTTTTTTTCTTGAATGAAACTTACCACATTCTATTATTGCTCTTGGTAAAGCGATAACCGGAAATACACCAAATAGGTCAATAATGCAACAAATTGTGAAGAAAAGAGATAATCTGTTGTTTGAATTACACCACTCACTTAGGAACATATTAGAAGAACTGACTGGTAGAGAATGGGGAAGAAGCCCAAAGTGAAAACATTCGGTTATGTAATAACGCACCTCCTGAAGTGGATAAAGTAAGTTATACCGTATCTAAGAAGCCCTACAAATCTCTGATCTTGCTTTTATTTGATCCATTTATTGAATGCTTGGAAATGAGTGCAGGAAATCAGGTACAACATTTTAAATAAACTATTTTACTAATACAAAACTATTTATTTTAATAAACATAAAATACTGTTTGTGTTTGTTAACTACTGCTGAAAAACAGTCAGACTAGAATAGAAAAAAATTTAAAATTCCCTCAGCAACTGCCTAGTTACAGATATTTACAACCAATAAGAGAAATAATGAAAAATTACTGTATTACATGTGTTTCTCTTCTGATGATAGAATAATAAACTATAATTTATATATTTACACAAATGTACAAATTAGTCAAAATTATGTGATTATAATTCAAAACGAAGTCTAAATTCTTTGGGCAAATTTTAATCAATCAATTCCCCTGATTGCTTATTTCCTCAGCCATCGCTTCTAAGTCCACAAATCCGCCTTCTGTGTCCTTGTCGCCAAGAAGGTTTCCGATGTCGGATTTCAGCTCAGAAAAACTGGGCCTCTTTTCTGGATCGTTATGCCAACATTTTGTAAGAACTCGGAAAAATTCAGATCTACAGTGCTTTGGCTTTTCGAGTCGGTAGCCTTCACGAACATGATGCATTACCTCTCTGGCACCCATCGTGTTGTACGGTGTTGACCCTAAAATAATAAAAATTATATTGGCAGCTATAATTTGAAATTAAAACATCAGCACATTCCATAAATTTGTAATTACTTAATTTTAATTGATTTAAATAATTATTTTGTTTGCTTTTATAACAAAAATTTCATTGTAGATTTTTTGACTCACCAAGAGTAATAATTTCCCACAAAAGTATTCCAAAGCTCCACACATCTGATTTGTGAGTAAACAGGCTAAAGTGTAGAGATTCTGGCGCCATCCATCTAATTGGCATTGCACCCTGAAAATAAATTATTTTTGTTTGAATAATGAATATTCAAAAATGGTCATTTCTACAAATAAAAGCATGTTGTGTGATTATTAAAATTATCACAATATAGTGTACTCACCCTATTTGGCCTCTGTTCGTATATTTGACCAGTGTCTCGTACGTTCCTTGACATTCCAAAATCTGCTATCTTGCACAGTTTGTTGTGGTCAACAAGAATGTTGCGAGCTGCTAAATCTCTGTGGATAATCTATCAAAACAAAACAAACAATGGATCAGTATAGAATACAAATGCTATATTTGATCAGGCCAATTGAGATAAACTAACCCCTTTAGTAACAAGGTATTCCATTCCCCTAGCTACACAATATGCAAAAACAGTAAGGTCTCTGGATGTGAGTGCTGAAGATAGGTCTGAAAAGTTGAAGTAATGTGCACGAGTCCTGTGCTCTCTTAAGAAAGCAAGCAATTTTCCATACATCACGTATTCCATAATAAGTAAGTATGGCTCTGAAAATTAATAAAATGAAAATACAACACTAATTTCCAATTAATATATTTAATTTTTACCTTTGTCAGTACAGCATCCAAGAAGGGTAACTACATTGGGATGTGCTCCAAGTTCCTGCATGATCCCAAGTTCACGGAGCAGATCTTCTTTTTCCTTTTGTGTAGCTCCTTCTTTGACAGTTTTAACAGCTACAAGCCTAGTTAAACCTTCATGGCCACTTATATCATCTGCTTCAGCTTTCCAAACCTTCAAAAACAATTCTATCTTTACTTGTTCAAATATTAATATTTACAAAATTACCTGTCCAAAGTTTCCTTGGCCAAGAACCGTCTGCAAACGAAGCTTGTCTCTAGGGAATTCCCATTTTGTTATTGGTACTGGCACTATGGCTGGTTTTGTCTCTTCCCAATTCTAAAACAAAAACGATAATCAATTATACTGTATTAACTGTGTTTTTTGGTGACCGGTTGTTATTGTTTGTTGAAGTTGTGAGAAGCGGTCAGGAATAAAGTATTTTAGAAAAATATCTTTTCCATTTTCTTGCCGATGTTTCGGCCACTATTCGGGACATCTTCAGGGCCTGGGCGAATAACAAACGTGTTCATTGATAAAAATACACTACAGATGTAAATATAAATTATGAACCAAGTATTTCATACTCACAAAAAATGTTCATAATTCTTATTGTGACATAATGGTTTTGTGTAAAACGTTTTAAAAATAGTTGTGAAACGTGAATTTGTATTCTGCTGTTTTTGTTTTTATATGATTATGACAGGATGGGACGCGGTAAATCTGGGAAATTTTGTTTGATCCTAGGCGGTTTTATTTAACTTAAAGGAAGTCGATAATGGGGATTTTCTGCATTTGATTTGTGATTCGAGGTTTTGTTCAATATTGGAAAGGTAGTTAATTATTACGGACGATAACGAAGGAAAGGGAAATAAAAAAATAAAGTTTAATGGTTTATGATGGCGTAGATACGGCCGAGTTTGCAAATATTTGTTCTGCAACTATTGCTGTTTTTGTCTGTGTTGAAGTAAACCATTTCTAAGTATTGCGTTTTAATTAACGCCAATACTTAGCGTAAATCAAAGTTGTGCTATTTTTCAAAATGGTGTTTGGCGAATGCTGTGGGATTATCCACTAATCCCACAACATTGGCCATTCACCATTTTGTAAAACAACACAACTTTGATTTCGACAAAATGCAAATACTAAAGACTGAAAAAACAAAAAACAAATGGTTTACATCAACAGAGTCAAACAAGACTTCCATTGTGAGAAATAAAATCTCCAATGTTTAAAGAAAATTTCCCAGATTTTCCGTGTCCTGCCACAATCAAAACAACAGTATGTTACAAATTCACTCTTCACAACAATTTCACACGAAACCAATATGGCACCACAAGAATAGCACCACATTTTATGTAAGTATGAAATACTTGGTTCATTATATTTGCATCTGTATTCATTTTTTCCAATCAACATATGTATTGTAATTCACCCAGGCCCTGAAGATGATCTGGATAAAGGTTGAAACATCTGCAAAAAAAAAAATAAAAAGGTATTTTTCTAAAATACTATATTCCAGAGAGCTCCTAACGACTTCAACAAATTTATTAACTACAGTACAACAGTCATTTGTCAGATATAAAGAAAAATCTCTTTACCAAATGAGTTGGGACTCTGGGCAATTTTGTTGGCAGAGGCGATCTGTTGTACTCTGACGAATATTCCGATTCATCCAATACCTGAAATACCCGATAGATTAGTTTAGCTTAATAATTTACTGTTATAATGAACTAGTGGATATTATATTTTTCACTATAAGAGGAGTACTAAATTTGTAAGTTTCCTCAATAAAAGTCCACTGAATAGGTCTTTCCCTTAAATTAAAATAATTTTAAAACCACTCCTGTGATTCCAAATTGATATATCATTTTGGCAAATATAATTGTTAAAAATAAAAATAAAACAATAAATTCAGATATACCTTCTTCTTGCTCTTCAGCATGATCTGCCGGACAATTAAAAATCCTCCAAGAATGAGTGGTATGACGCCCAGGCCAGCCAGAATGTACGTTACAAGGCTTAGAGTCGAATCCTGGAAGCTAACATTTATTGTCGATGGTTTGATGGTATGGTTCCTTTGGTGTACCACCCAGAGATTATCAATTTTCGAAAGGTTAAAACTGCTAGGCTCTTTCGTCGTCGTTTTGATCTTAGCGTCTTCTGATCTTTCTGTTGTCCTACTTAAAATATCATCCAACGATTTAAAAACTATTTCTTCTGTAGTGTAATTGGGAGTGGAAGAAGGGCGTTCTGTTATATAGGTTGTATTTGCAGTTGTAGGTGCAGAAGTAGTTGCATTATAAGTGGTTGGTGTATTTGTAGGAATAGTACTTGTAAAAGGAGTAGAAGTGAAGTTATTAATGGTAACTGAAGAAGGAGTAGTTGTTGAAGTAATAGGAGGAGTAGTTGTAGAAGGAGTAGGCGTTGTAGAAAGTGTAGGAGTTGTAGAAGGTGTAGAAGTTGTAGAAGATGGAGGAGTAGTCGAGGTTGTTGTAGTAGTAGAAGTAGTAGGAAGAGTTGTAGTAGGTTTAGTAGTAGTAGTTGTTGTTGTAAAACCAGTAGTGGAAAATGGGATAGCAGTGCTAATGTTGTTAGCTGCCATGGAAGTTTTACTTGAAGAAACTGATGATTTGGAAGATGATTGAAAAGACGTAGAAGATTTAACTGTTGTTTCTACAGAAATCGGAGTTGTAGTACTTGTAGAGTTTTCTATCGCTAGTTCTCCTTCATTGACACCTACTACTTCTGAGTTTCTCATTGGTGGTTCTTTTTTAGTTCTAGTGGCTTGCGTTATAATTTTAGGCACTTCTATATAGGTCGGAGGGGTAGATACGACGTGCACAACGGGGAAGGTGGTATTTCTTCGATAAATACTCCTGAAAGTTACCGGCTTGTATGATGTTGTTTTAGGCCTGAGAGTTGTATAAGGTTTACGTCTTGTACTGTTGAGCAATGACTCAAATTTGAGTGATCTATCAACAGACGGAATATCCGAACTGTTTATTTTCACATCAGAACCGTTCTCATATTCATCTGATGAGTTAAGTTTTATTCTTGGAAACCGTGGTGACTCTTTCACAGATACTGAAGTGACGACAGCAGTCGACAAGATCCTCGCAGTAGGACTTGGTTTTAAAATTGATATTATTTTGGCCGGTTTATCAAAAGTTGGCTTAACAGTTCCATCACTGATTACTTCTTGAAGAGGGGCTTCAATGGATTGTTTTTCTTTCAACGGTTGTACATTAATCAAAAGATGTTGCGTTTCCGTTTGATTTGTGTCATTCTTAATCGAATCGTATCGGTTCAACCTTAGCCCATAGTTTGGAGAAAGTACAAGTTGGGTTTTTACACCACTCTCATTAGACTGAAGATCATAATGTACGTCTTTCTTCATATCAGTCTTATTTGAATTTAAATTAGTGTTATTTACATTATGGGACTCTTGGGTGGCGTTTTTACCACCTTCGGATAATTTGAAAAAACTCGACGAATGCCTAAGTTGTATAGGGCCTTGAGGAACTTTGTTTTTCTCAACCGTTTTCTTCATGACTGTCACATCCATGTCATCGTGATAGACCTCCTCGGCCGGAAACAGCTCCGTAGAGCTGCTAGCCATCCCCCTCGGAGTTGACGATGATTCGATCGAGTTGACACCCGAAGGAGTTGAACCGGTAGATAGCTTTCGCCCAAAGTCGAGGAATGGGAGTAAGTGGTCTTGCGGTACGTCCTGTTCCAACGGACGGAAATGGTTGTACAAGTTGTAGGACATTGTTTGGGGTAGGCCGGTCGTCGAAGGGTTAACAGGGTCTCTTCTGCGCTTCCTCTCTCCTCCGTCCTCCAATATAAGCCGTTGGCGCTTCCGTCCGTGTTTCACAATTACTCTCTGGGTGACTTTGTCGTATTTATTCTCCTCTTCTTCGCTATCCGACTTGACCCTGCTCTTCTTCTCCTGGAGCGAGTGCACCATGTCCACGCTCTCGTCCGCATGAAGCTCCCCACTATCTGCAGACACGACTAGTCTATATGGTCCACCGCCGGCAGTCCATCTCCTTCCTTTATATACATTTTCTTCAGTTTCAGCTCCTAAAATAAAAAGAAAAAATTGTCTTTAATTTGAAGTAAATATAATTTATTTTAAATTGATTTTTTTTAAAAACTTATTTTGCGTGATGTTTTAGTCAGCTCCGATTAATACTGAGCTTTATTTGTCTATACTCATAAACAATATAAATATTCTTTGAAGTAAATGACGTAAAGAGCTGGAAATACATGAATAAAGAAGATTCACATTGAATATGAAACTTCGACTGTATTTTTAAATAAAGTTAAATGAGGGGGGAAACTTTACAGACTGCATAAACATGGCACGGGGTCATTAGTGTCAGAATAAGCAAAACACCAGGAGAATGCCACCTTGTCAGTACAATACGTTTGGACGGTGCTAATTAGTGTCAACGTTCAGAAAATAAAGGAGAAACCCCGCTGTTCCTCGAAAAGAAGAAGCTGTAATAGCATCCGATAATTATATATTCTTGGCCCAAAAGCGGACCTGTGAACAGCTTAGAAACGGGCACAATGACTGCTGATGCTCGGAACGACAAAAAAGTTAAAAAAGAAAGGGTGTCTCAGAAGAAAAAACATGGTTAGCGCAACGGGGCTTGCCTGATGGGGATCCGGATTCAAAAGAGTTGTTTGATTAAAGCTATCTCATATCGATTGTTACGAAAAGGATCTTTGTAATCAGAGGGATTCCTATGGCCATTGTAACCACCGGACCGACAATGGCCTCATCCCGTCGGTTGAAAGTGCCCGAGGGTGCTTCTATAATAATTAATCAAAACTGGAACTAGTGAACTCGTCTTTAAAATAAAATCATCACAAAAAACAAAACGATTATCGTTTATGACTTAGTTGTGCCATCTTCGTTAATGAAGACCGATTGTGAATAATATGAAATGTGTCACTAATGTTTGAAACACGTTTTCATGTTCTAAGAGATCACAAAATAAGGAAGTGAAGAGATATTTTCTCTTGACCCTATTGACTTTAATTACAAGAAGTTGATGAGGAAAGAGCCAATTAATCAAGACTCCTTAGAAAATATTTGATAGAGTAATCAAGGGCACAAATGAAACAGTGTGGAGTTTTAGTACCGAATCGTTAATCATGTTACCAAATAAGGAAATCCAAGCATGATCTAATAATTTTAATTTTCACCACAGATCATAAAATAAATATATTAAAATAATTTCATAAACATATTGTTAATATATTACGTCTGTTGTATAAGAAAACTGTATTTGTGAATTTGAAACTCTTAGGTAACGGCGATATATTTTTTTACCTTTTTGATCGTAAGTTGTATGGGATTTCGCTATTTATCACACCACTTGGAAATTTTCTGTGATTGTAAAGTGATCATTAATGATGATTCATCGTTAGGTCAAAAGAGAAAAGCGAACTGGAAAACAATCAATTGGACGGGTTATTGAATACAAATTTTGTCCTGGAACACCCGAATGTCCATAATCCTGCATGTACTCCCCCAAATAACTTTTACAAAGAGAAGGAACCTTAAACTAAAAGCACCTTCTTGAGAAAAAAAAACATCCCTTTCTTCATGAAAACGAATAACATTAGGTCAAACGCTTATCTGGAAGAAATGTATAGACAAAACAATACAAAAATGTAAGACTGTAACAAGTGTTGGTCAATGATTTTGAAATAAATCCAAAAATAGCCTACTATACGCAACGAACCTTTGGCCATATGGAGCTCAAAAATGGTGGCCAAAAACCTCAACAAAAGAACAGCCAGGGTCAATCAAAGATATGACAAAGGTTGGGATGTTTTCACATTACAGGGGCAACAATCGCCCTATTTGTAAGCAATGAAAGTGGCACTGGGATTAGCCACCGTTTCATACATCCAGAGGACGGCATACGAGGTGCAACCAGACTCCTAGGATAAGGAAATGAAATAAAAATCGACAAGAGAAAGCTATCACAAAATCCTAAAAAAAAGTTCAAAATGAAAAATGTGTTTACATTTAGATTAGAACTTTGTCCAGGAGAACTGATGGATGAAATCCTCCTTTTTTTTACATAATATTAAATTGATCTGTAGACCTCCAGAAAATAGTTTCGAACTATCTGGGAATAAAGGCTCTAATTATTTGGAAATGCAGGTCTATTGAAATCACTGAGAGATTAAAAAAAGTATTTTAAGATGTTGAGTAAGGAATAGTCTTTTCCACAATAGGCATTTATTACGTCAGACGCGTATCGGTCTAATGTAGACATCCTCAGAGACTTTTTAAAATATAAATTGGTTTGACGGTTTTTTACATTACAAGTACAGAAGTCTGGACGATATGGACGTGGCGAGTAGTCTGTTTCTTGACTAAATGAATTGAAATCTTGAATATATGCCTACAGTGGAAAAGACAATTTATTTCCTACCCATCAACTTATTATGGAGTCCCAGAAAATCAGGATTTTAGACTTGAGGAAATGGCTTCACCCATCCTTTTGCAGAGAAATCGAAAGCAAAAACAGTTACGAATATACAATTCACATTTACACAGATGGAAGCAAAATAGATGGGAAAGTAGGATGCGCTTTTGCCGTACACGGAGAAAACGTTCCATACCATATCTGCTACTACAAGCTTTCCTCGCATTTCTCTAACAACCAGGCAGAGCTGATGGTGATAGAAGAGGCTCTTAAACGGATTCAAGGAAAAGCTATCAGCTTATCAGCACAGACAGCCAGACTTGTTAAAGTCCCGAAAAAGCATTGCAAGGACAGTCTAATGCATTTGGCAAATGTTAATCGATTTGTAAAGAAAAGGATGGAAAATCTCAATAAACTGGATTAAAGCGCACATCGGCATACAGGGGAATGAAGAAGCGGACCGAAAGGCAAAACAAGCAGCGAGAAACTTTCAACCTGGCACCGATATCGCATGCACTAAGAACAACCAGAGAAAACGTCAACTAGAATGGGATGAAATGTAGAAGAACACTGAGAACGGAAGTCAAACCAAAAAATTTTATCCCAACAATATCACACTCATATAAAACCACACAGATTTTCTCTGTTCGCGGAAAAAATAAAGCACACCTAAAAAGTTTCTTAGGAGGTGACACTTGCGGATGCGTATGAGGCGGAGCACAAAATTGGGAACACATTATTTTGGACTGTGCCAGGTTCGACAAGGAAAGATCCGAAAAATTAATTAATACATTTACTAGTTTTCGAGGTCCGCTTGACCAATTAATAATTAATTTGAAAAATGGCAAAAAGGAGGGAAAATTCAAAAGGGAGGTGTTGAGGTGGGAGGTTAGTGTCCGGGCGGATCGAAGTCACGATAGCTCAAGTGGAAGAGCAGCCGAAGGTCGTGGGTTCGAATCCCGCTCGTAACACTGACTTTTCAACTCAACTAAAAACCTTAATTAATTGAGATTAATTAATTAATACATTTAAAAAAGAATTTTTTCATTTATTAAAAAACTCAACTTTGATTTAATTTAAAATATTCAAAATATAATAATGTTAATTCAAGTCATTACGCGTTATGCTAATAATTATATTTAAAATGTCCATAAATATATCATTGATTATAGAAAACATGTAATATGTTACATGGAGCTAGTGGTAAATAAATTCCTTTTTATTAGGGGTAAGAGGGAAAAAAATCAGGTTGGACACCACCAAAAAATTATAAGTATTTTAAGGCATAATCGACCATATAATGTTTCGAAGTATATTAAACTTTTTATTTAATCTTCCCAAAGAGTTCTATAAGCCGAATCCCGTTAGAATTAACAATTGTGAGACTTTTTAGCTGGAATAATAGGCATTGTGCAAAGGCTGAATTTGAAAACTGCATCTCTTCATTAGCGAACCTCACAGCTAAAATCGTGGGAATTGGTCAAGGCGATTGAAAAAGGCGATGTATCCCGCGATTGTCCGAATTGTGCAACTGCTTCGTTTCGGCATGTACTTGCCCTTTAGACGGGGTTCGAGTCCATCCCTTTGGCATCACTGCCTATAACCTTTTGCCGTAGGAAAACGCGCTGTTCCGAATTGCGTAAAAGACCGTTTCGTCCACTCGTGCGCCTCTTGGGCAATTCGTGCCCCGAGGGGGCTTCCTTCCCGAGATGTATTCCGAAAGACGCTTTTTATCATTTTTTTTCCCCCAGCGGTTGGATAAACAAAAGCCCGGACAGGATAGGAGGCGTGAAATCAATTTGATACTTTTTTCTATTTGTTTGCCTATTTTTCGACCGGATAGGCTTGCGACAAGTATTTTGAAAAGCCTCGCCGTCATACATCGTTATCTATTTTAAAATTTAAAGCAGAATGAATTACTTGTAATATCGAATTAACCATGGCCGGTCTTGACCAACAAATCTCCAATTTTCAACGACCACCTTTAAATTACTTTAGCTTTATTAAACGAAACATTGTATACTGTACATTACACTATATACCCTTAAATTGTTTAAAATTACATTAAAATAATCATTTACATGTGTAAAGAAAAGTTTACCTGAAAGCATAACAATACAAAATTAAATACTTAGGAAATTATTTTTCTTTTTTCCTAAGGTTGCCCGCTTTTTGTTTTCATTTATTAAATTAACCATATTGGTGATAAATAATTTATCTATCATTGTTATTAGTATTTTGATATTTTATTACTTGGTTTTATATGTTATTTATTTATTATCAAGGATTTATAAATATCTACATATGTACCTGAAAGAGAAATTGTAAACTAACTCAGCTCTGAAGATGTTTTCAATTAAAGGAAAGCTTGGCATGATGGGAGTTTCTATGTTTCTGTGACCTAATACCTGATTATCACAAACATTAATGGAAAGAAATGCATTAAGCAAATTTGAAAGAAAGAAAAGCCCTCAGTTTCTTCGATAAGCTTTTTTGAAATTATCCTCTTCAACAGGGCTTAAACACTATTCCTAATTTCTTTACTAACTTTTTCGTTTCAACCAAAACGTTATATAAAACTTCGTATAAAATTCGAAGTCCTGATTAAGGCGACATATCCCTCGAAAAC